CCTACCGGAACCAAGCTAATGGTCGCAAGCTTCAGGGAGAAATAATCCATTGTCCCCAGCAGCAGGAAGCAGGCTCACCCCTGTGGTGTGGTGAGACAGCAGTCTGCTGTCAGGGAGGCTGTCTAAGCATCTGACCTCCCCCCACACCTTGGTGACCAGAGGCAAATCAAACCCCTCAGGGCACTGTCCTACTCTGATACACACGGGGTGCCACTGAATGGTAGGGTAATTGGGCAGACGATATTTGAGTGTGGAATCCATCCTCCGAGTTAGGTTTTAGGAGTGTGATAGACTAGAGAAACAAATCCAGTGACACTCATCTAAGAAAGAGCTTTATATCAAGAAATCATTGTAAACCAAGAAAGTATCCCAGCTCAAGTCCGTAAGTCTGATACTAGTCCACAAGTCCCTCTTCAGACTCACGCAGCTACATGCAATGATGCAGAATGTTGGAAGATCACAGGCCGGTGGGTGCAGAGTCGGGTGGGATTCAAGGTCAGTGGAAATGTGGCAGGGTATTGACAGCTCTCAGGGTCACCAGCAAGCAGGAAGGAGAAGAGGGAGAAAGAGAGGAGGTTTCTGGATCCTCTGTATGAGAAGGAAGGGCCCTCCCCAGCCCCCCCAAGGAGGCACCACCAAGCAATGAATGACCTGACTGACAGGCTGAATTCCATCCCTACACTTTCATACGTCTTCAAGTGGACATAAAATCACCGAGTCACCACTGGAGGAAGACTGCCCCTTCCTCGGTTGCCTTTCACTCCCCTCGAGTCCCTGGCACTTTCTTACCTCAGGTTTACAATTTCCAGGAGAAGCTGGACGAGAACCAGCGAAGTCTGGTCCAGAAAGTGTGTGAGCTCATCGGGGAGGTGAGAAGAGAAGGGATTGACAATTTGAGGAACCTGAAGAAAAAATGGGGCTCGGCCAGACCTGAAGAAGGCATGCCAGAGAGCCCAGCCAAAGTACGTGCTTCCATTCAGCCCTGCTGGTCACTGTGTCCACCCCAGTCTGGTTGCCTGAACATTCAGACAGGGCACCAGGGCCCACAGCACGGCTGTGTCATGTTTTGAAAGGCATGTTTCTGAGGCTAGGCTTTGAAGAGGCTTTTCTGAAAATGAGCTTTCTTCGCAGAAGCAGCCATGGGCCATGGAGGAGGACAGCTGTGGGCCGGCTGCCGCCATGGTGGGCAAAGCCAGGGTCCTGGGCCGCTGGAAGCTGGCTGTGCAGCAGACACGCTTCCGGGACCAGCTGAGCCGCGCAGAGAAGGTGAGCGCTGGGGAGGCGGCTGGCCTGGAGCTTGGCTGGAGCTGCTGAGTTGGGGTTGGGTGGCAGTGATGTGCCGAAGGCTCTGACCAGTGGGGATTTTCCCTGGGGAGCAAGCATGGTCAGAGCCTTGGGAAAGAGAGACAGGAGTCCAGAGCTCAGGGCTCTGCCAACATGCCCTTGGGTTTCAGCCATGACGCTTCTTGAGCTCAATGGAGTCAGGCAGTAATAAATGGAAAGTAGGCTTGAAAGCACACGGGAACCCCGAGGTGTCTGGATAATGGTTTGGAAACTTTCACGCGTAACCCTTTCTGAATGCTTCTATCAGCGCTGCCTGTGTCACTCTGCCTACTTACAACCATCCTGCTGGCCGTTCCTGTGGGACATTTTTAAGTCCAGGGTTGGATGGGGTGGGTGATAAGGTGGTTTCTCATGGTTTCCCAAGGATGTGCTGCTGTGTTTGGGGTAATTACAGGAAGCCATTCGAAGTCAAAAGGAGTGTCTGAGCACCAAGCTCATGGCAGAGCGAGAAGTGGTCTTGTTGCGTCAACAGCTGCTGGCTCTCCGGCAGGCGCTGGCCCGGGCTCAGGAGGACAACGTGGGCTTGTGGAAGCGGCAGGAGAACCAGGTACCTGGGCTGCAGGGCCATTCTTGCTCCCTCTATCTGAGCGCAGTCTGCAAAGCCACCGGTGGCCACCAGAAGCAGCGGCAGGCCTCCCCAGGGTGACACTGAGCGATCTTAATGGACAAAGATGGCCAGTACCTCAGCTTCACTTCTCCCTCCTTTCCCCAGGCAGTGGCCAACGGGCCTTTGCCCTCAGATTTGACTAAGGTGATACAATAGTCTTCGTCGTACAAGATGAGTTTCCTCTGTTCATGAGCCTACCATGAGGGTGGCCCTAGGGGGCTGCTTATTGAGCTGCTAACAGTGAAGTCGGCTGTTCAGAAGCCAAGAGTCTTTCCTTAGGAGAAAGAGGAGCCTGCTCCCCTAAACATTTAAAGTCCCGGAATCCCAAAGGGGCAGTTCTACTCTGTCCTGTAGGATCACTGAGAGTTGGAATCGACCCCCTGGCTGCGAGTTTGGGGTTTGGTTTCCCACACCCATTACATGTAGGGCTCCAGCCGGGTCTCCCACGGTACATCCTGAATGCTGCTGTCTCAAGATCAAGGCTGGAGAACAGTGCAGCTGGGGAGAGCTATCTAGTCGATTAGTCAGCTAGCTCACAGACACGCGATGATCACAGTTTGGAAGGAAGAGACCAAATTAGTTGGCCAGGTGTTGGTCTGTCACTGCAGTGATCGCTTTCCGAGTTGGGGTGATTTCTGGTTAGTCCCGTTGTCTCGGGACTTACACTGTAAGTCCCAGGCTGGGCTCGAGGCCCTGGTGGTCGTGCTGCTGGCTGGCGAAGGGCAGGAAAGCTGAGCTGTGTTTTCTTGAGCCCAAGAATACACAGCATCCTTCTACTGTCGGGCCCTGAAGGAGGGGTTAGGGATAGTGTGGGCCAGCCTCTGGTTGGCTGCATTCTGCCATCCAGAAAGACTGCGTTTTGGTTTCCTGAGGGTTTGGGTTTGTTTTGTGTTTTTGTTTTTCCCTACCGCAGGCTCAACTGCTGAGGGAGTTAGAACACAGAGTGGCCCAGGAAGCGCTCAACCGGCAGCAGCTGGAGTTCATGAGAACATCCAGCATGGAGAAGCTCTTGGGTCATGTGGAACAAAAAGAACTGCAGCTGCAGCTCCTGACCCAAGAAGCTGAGCGGGCCTCTAAACTGGGCCAGATTCAACAGAGAAAAACCCAGCGGGAACTCCAACAGGTACGCTCCGTGGGAGGGAGTGGCCACAGTAAGCCATCCAGAGGGCTGCCCTCTCTGGTCTTTTCCAGCCCTGTCTGGTTCTCCACAGCAGGGCATCTCAACCCTGGTCCCATCTAGGCCCGCCATGAAAATGAGGACATTTCTGTTGATGCTGGGTCGATAGTGTCCACGGCTAATAGCAGGAGAGCAAGCCTGACTGACTTGAGGTTGAAAAGCTTGGCGCCCTTGCAGCCCACATGGAAAGCACGCTTCCACAGAACTTGAGTCTCCAACTCCAGAGTCCTTAGAAAAATCTGAGAAGAAATCTGGGAAAGCAGCAAGTATTAAGTGGCCATCAGGTTGTTGTCCAGTGCCATCTAGCTGGTTCCAACTCATTGGGACCCCATGCCCTGCCGAAGGAAACCAAAACACCGGCTCACAGCGACCATCCAGGCAGGACTAGGTGGACCCGCCCGTGGGGATGGAGCTCTACGCACATCTATAACATGCACTGAGAGACTCCGGACCAGGGATATTAGGAAGGTCTTCCTAACTCTGCAAATCTGATGATCAGCCGGGCTTTACCGGACACTTGAGCGCTTCCACACAACACAGGGGGCAGCTGCCTTCACGGAGCATTTGTGGAACCAGACGTGCATGGCTCCCTGTCAGCTCAGGGTGAGAGGGACCTCTGGTTGAGTCTATACAGGTGCACTTTTTGAGATTAGAGAACACTGCTTTTTCCTTATTTAAAAAATTAGAAGATGATCACATAGAATGTAAAAGACCAATCACCTGTCAACGCTGCAGTGAAGGTGTACTGTGGACCCTGTCGCTCTCTGGTGAGGGGGCAGGCGGTCACAGGCAGAGCTGTGGGAATGCAGCCAGTTCCCTCTGGGATGGGCCAGGTAGGTTAGTGCAGGTCTCTGACCCCGAGGTCAGGCCTCTCCTTGACTTGAAACCCTCCAGGAGCCCCTGCCAGGACTCCAGGCTGCTACTGGCTTGGCCTCCGAGGTCCTGTGTGAACTGGACCCTCGGTCTTCCGCTCCCCCTGCTCCTCCCGTGTAAACTGATCCCGTTGTACCTCTTCTCTCTCCTTACCCCACTGGTGAAACAAGAGTTAAGAGATTTAACTTTTGTAAGTAAACTCCTGGTTATGATAAGGAGCTCCCACCAGCTACTGCCATCCCTCCTTTGGCCAAGTTCTTGGCCTCTAGGGGACTCGGGATTCTCAAAGGGCTGAGCTTAGTCCCGCCAGGACTTCCTAGGAACCCCCCTGTGAGTGGACAGAACTTGGGTGTGCACCCCAAAACATTTCCACCGCCTCAGCACCTTTTCCCTCAGATGAGAAGCCGGCTGGCCCAGGAGCGCAGGGTGAAGCTGGACGCTTTCCAGCGAGTAGAAGAGCTAAAAGGTCAGCTGAGCGATGCTGTCCAGATGAGCCCCGCAGACGGTAAGGATGCCCTTCCCCTGATCTAGAAAGGCCCTGTCTCCGTGAAGAGAGCTCCCGTTATGCAACCGGTGGCGCTCAGTGTTTGTGGGACGAACCAATCAACAGAACTTTCCTCTTGAGCTCACTCTGCAGCATTGACATCTGAAATGACACACATGCAACATTTAAAACAAAATCCACGGTCCCAGGAGCCTAATATGCCACTTGTAGCACGTTGGGGACTTCACTGATTTTGAAACCTAGTAATGCCTTGAGATGGCATTTGCCCATTTCTCAAATGTTATTCATACAGTACATGTAACTCTTCACTGCTGGGGGCCTCTGGAGCCCTGGGCGGCGCTGGGCCCATTTCTGACGTCCTCTGGCTACACAGGGGGGAGGAGACTCCAAGTGTACCCAAGCCCAAGGTCAGCTGCCACCAGGCAGAGAGCAGCCATGCCCCACCCTCCATCCTTTTTTGACCCTTCTGCCACCAACGGTTACTCCCAGAACATTATACGTTTCTACTGGGTTCCATCATCCCTTGCAATGGCCACAAAGAACTCAGACAAAATTCACAATTATGGGGTTTATTAGGCAAGTTAACAGGTTACCATGAGCGAGGGTCAGAAAATGTAAAGGACAGAGCCTTTTGCCTAGAGTAACACCTCTCCTCAGCCAGCAGTCAAGTCTTTCTCTCTCGCCTCTCTTCTTCCTCTTTCTCTTCCTCCTCCTCTTCTTCTTTCTCTCTCTCTCTCTCATTCTCAGTCTCTCAGCCATGTGGTTCCTTGGCCTCCGGTCTCCACTGCCCAAGAAGCACACTCGCTCGTAGTCTCAGCGCTGCTCCGCTGCTCTGTCTCATGCTCCTTGCCTCAGCCTCTGGTCTCGGAGTGGCATGGCTCTGCTGCCCCCACCACTTCAAGCAGGGAGGGATCTTGACTGTGCCCTGCTGTTGGTGGTTCTTCCTGGGTTGATGATCCTGGGTTCTCTGTCTGTTCCAGCTCCTCCAGTGTCATACCACTAAGAATCCGGAGTCTGCCCAATTGGCACATACCCTTTAACTATCACAGTCACATTCACAGGTACAGGAGTTAGGACTGTATAACTTTGGGGGCGTCACAATTCAATCCATGGCTGTCTTGATATGATGAGGGATAACTTTTAAGCTCTATTTCAGATTTGACTATTGGAAATAAACCAAGAATATCCATAGCCATGAACCTAGGAGGTTCAAATGGTGTGTTACTCCAGGTAGATTAGAGAAACATATTCATAGACACGCATATGTTCTAAGAAAAAGCTATATAAAGAGTAATTGTATATTGAGAAAACATCCCAGCTCTGTTCAGATCAAGTCCATAAGTCCAATATTATCCCATATGTCCGATACCAATGACACCGAATGCAGGAAGATCACAGGCCAGTGGGTGGAAAGTCGTGTGGATCCAGTGGCAGTGGAAGCATCTCAGGGCTGCCAGAGGTCTCCAGGTGGCTCCTCCAGCTCTAGGACTCTAGCGGAGTCTCGCAGGGAGTGAGCGTGCCTGGCCTCCAGTGAGCTATTTATCTCTACCGTGCCTCCAAATAAAGTCATCAAGCTGCGACACGCCAGATTCCACCCCTTCCTCAAGTTGACAGCTTATGTAACTGTCACAAATGGTTAATGCGCTTGGCTGATAATCCAAAGGCTGAATGTTCAAATACATCCAGAGGCATGGTGACCTAGTGATCTGTTTCCCAAAACCAACCTATGGAAATCCCCATGGAACACTGTTCTACTTTGAAACCCCTGGAGTAGCCATGAGGCAGAATTGACTCATGGACAACTGGCAGTTTTGGTTTACCAGTAATCATGATTGACCTGTTAAGGTCACTCAGTTCTCTTCTCTTTGGTTCTGCAGCACAGCCTGAGGGTCAAGTATTTGGACAAAGCAGCCACTACGAGCTGCGTGAACTTAACCCCAACCCCATAGCCCTTCCATCAAGTCAATCCGGACTCATAGTGACCTCATAGGACGGAACAAAACGACCCGGTGGCGTTTCCACGGTCGGCATCTTCTTCTTTTTTTTTTTTAATCGTTTCACCAGGGGCTCGTACGACTCTCATCACAATCCACACATACATCAATTGTGTAAAGCACACCTGCACATTCATTGCCCGCGTCACTCTCAAAGCATCTGCTGTCCACCTAAGCCCCCGGCATCAGGTCCTCACTTCCTTCCCCCTCCCTCCGCGGTCCCCCCTCCCCCATGAGCCCCAACAATCCACAAATTGTTTATTTTGTCATATCCTGCCCTCCCCGACGTCCCCCCTCACCCACCCCTCTGCTGTCCGTCCCCCCAGAGAGGAGGCCACACACAGATCCCTGCAATTGGCCGGCATCTTTACAGAAGACTGCTGCTGCTTTCTGCTACAGAGCGGCTAGTGGTTCAAACCACTGACACGGAGCAATCAAGTGCTTAACCATTGTGCCACCAAGGCTCCTTAGGTGACCTCTCTGTAAAATTCAAATATCACCTCAAGGGCTTTTCTGAGCATTCAATAAGTAAGGCATGGCTGGCGCTTAGTAGGAGCACCGGTGCCACTGTGGTGAGGCACCTGACAGCTAACGGGTTCAGGAGTTCCCACCCACCAGCTTTTCCAAGAACAAAGACGCGGCAATCTGCGTCTGTGACGATTGCAGTCTTGGGACCCTATGGGGGGAGTTCCACTCTGCCCTACAAGGTTGATTTGAGCCAGAATCAACTGGACAGCACCAGACCAGGGAACGCTACCGGCGCTGCGGGGCTGTGCAGATGTGGGCCACTCCGCCTGCACTCGTGTCCATCCCTCAGCGGCTCCCTGTGGGCTCTCTGCCAAGGAGGATGAACTGAGAAAATACAGCTTTTCAGAAGCAGACAAATTCAAAGACCAAGTTGCTTGGTCTTTACTACGGGCCCTCACCCCTGCCTCTGTGCTGCTGCCTGGGCCCTGACATGGGGTGCTGGCATCTCCCACCCTCAGCACCTCTCCACCAAGCCCAAAGTCAAAGCACAGCAAGGGCTCCTGAAGGCCCCAGCGCACTGTCCTCTCCTCACCCTCTGGGAGCTTCCTCTTTCCGTTCCCCTCTGCCTCTGGCAAGTCAAGACTTAAAAGTCTTTTCCTGAGTCCTCATATGTTCCCAAGGAGCTGCTAAGTGGAAGGTAGGTCGTACCAGTCCACCAGCCACTCCTCCGGAGAGAGGAGGCAGTCTGCTGCTGTAAGGATGCGCAGCTTTGGAGAGCCGCTGGAGCTCTGCCCTAGAGGGTCACTGAGTCTGTATTGACCTGAAAGTAGTGGTTCTTTAACTTTTAAAAATTAAATTTGTGAATGTTGCTGTCCCCTTCTTCTCCAGTGCCTGCACCCGTCTGATAAAGAACAAGAGTGGGGCATGAGGGAGGGCGGTGGCAGGATAGGCACTAGGTAGTACCTGTCTTTTAAATAGTCAGCTAGATAGCGCCTATGCTGTTGACACTTAAGAGGCTAACGTCAGCCATCCCTACTCCTCCTACCTCAGTGGTCAGGCCCACTTACTTGGCATTATCTATTGGCCCACAAAGCTGTAAAGTGTTACAGGTGAATCCATTGAAGAACTACTTCATGAAGACTGGCTTCTCTCTCCACGTTTTTGCGCTCTAAGAATTCTGGCTGCAGAAAGGGAAACAAGGTGGCTGCCACCTTCGTCACTTAGGCTCCCTGTTCAAGTTCAGCATGGTAGGCGTGGGCCGTGGTGAGGGGAGAGTGTTAGGGACTGGGCTCTGTCTAGACTAGCTGAGGTCATATGCCCGACTATGAACAAGTCACTGAGCCAGAGAGGAAGATGCCCGGCTGACTGAGTTCGGGACTGGCTGAGAGTGAAGTCAGTTCTTTTTCCCATCTTCCCTGCAGGAACAAATCTTCCCCAGGTCTTCCAACCTTCATACACTGCCGAACACTTCATGGAGAAATTAAATCCATCACGCTTGTCCCCAAGAATACCTATGAGTAAGTGGAGAGGAAGCAGACAAAGAGTAATTCAAGCCCCCTGAAAAAGTAGGAAGGAGCCCTGGTGGTGTAGTGAGTTAAGCACTGGACTGCTAACCACAAGGTCGGCGGATCAAACCCATCAGCTGCCTGTGGGAGAAAGCTGTGACTTTCTGCTCCCTGTGAAGATTTCTAGTCTTGAAAACCCACAGAACAGTCCTGTTTTACCCAATAGGGTCCTCTTGACGGCAGTGGGTGTGGGGCACCTGATTACAGATGGAATTCTCTTGTGAACTTTCCCCATGACACTGCTCCAGGTGGTTTTCCTCTTCCTTGATTCAAGTGACACAGTGGTTTCCCATCGAGATGCTAACCACAAGGTCAGGAGTTTGAAACCACCAGTGGCTCCGAGGGAGAAAGAGGAGGCTTTCTACTCCCGCTCCCATAAAGAGCTACAGTCTTAGAAACAAACCTACAAGGGCAATTCTACCCTGTCCTGTAGGGTGGTTAGGAGTCGGAATTGACTCAGTGGCAGTGAGTTGTCTGGTTGTCTTTTCCAAGCCCTTCCGAGGTCTGACCGGTCTCTGGTGAAGGCCCATCTATCCCGTGTGCCCTGAGAGCTGACACACCAGTTCACTAGGCCAAAACTGGATTGGCCTTCCCCTCTTCCCCACACTGACTCCTTCTGGGAACGTTCTGTCAGAGAGGAAGGGGTGCTATCAACAAATGGCATCACTAGGTATTCAATTGCTTGAGCCAGAAATCTAGAGCTGCTGCTCACCCTGGACATGCAGTTAATTTCAAAGTCCTACTAATTTGAATAGCTCTGTCTACGTTTCTTCACCATTATCCAAGTCACCTGTCACCTTCTTTTCACTTGGTCATGTGAGCCTCAGACACCTTCTAGGTGGGACATCCTCATTCACAACTGATGGAACAGTTAGATTAAGTGTTGACTGTAAGCTCTAAAATGTTATGCTTTCTATACGGACAGTTGTAATGTCATGTTTTTAACATTAGGGCGTGGGTGTCAAGCTCGCTTCTCCGTGAATCCCAGCTGCACATCATCCGGGTATTCCCAGCAACACTTGCTAAAGACTAGTTTTACAAGCAATCAAATCAGAGGAACTCAAAGACCAAAGACTGTAAGTACTGGCAAATTTGGTAACGTGAAACATTGACAAATTTCAAATCTGAAGCTATGGTTTTAGGATAAGGTGACCAGATTTTAACATCAGTAAAGCGGGACACCAGCGGGGCACCATTGATAAAACTCATATCCTGGCGAAAGAGCCACATGGCAGCCAAAAACCGTATACCCTAGCTTGTCGTGCATTCTTTCCAAAAACTGGGACTTTTTAAAAACGCCATGGGACATAGGAAAAATTGTTAAAAAAGCGGGACTGTCCCGCCAAAAGCGGGACGTCTGGTCACCTTATTTTAGGATCACTCCAGAGTTACAGTAGGATAGTTACGTATAAATTATCTTTTTTAGCTGCTTTGAACAGGAGGCTTTCTGTAGTTACAGCCTCAGAAACCCACAGGGACAGTTCTACCCTGTCCTATAAGGTCTCTGTAAGTTGGAATAAACTCGAGAGCAGTTTGGTTTGGGGAGATGCTTTGGATCTGGACATTAAAATCCTGGTGTTGAAATAAGCCCAATCGCACCTATTCCATTAACATTCAATGGCATGGGTATGAAAGTTAGTAACCAACACCTGGCTGTGTTCTATCTCTAAATTTCTGTTAATCAATCTCCTACTATAATGACGAGCTTTGGAGGGGTCTTGGGTTACTCAGCAGGCTGCTAATTATCAAGTCAGCAGTTTGAAACCACAGCAGCTCTGTGGGAGGAAAATGAGGCTTTCTGCTCGATCCTCACAGGGCAGTTCTCTGTGCTGTCGGGTGTCGGCGAGTGTAGGGCAGTGCGTTGGGTTCTGAGTTCTAATTAACTAGCAGCACCAGGCCCTGTAAGTTCCCTGGCAGAACAGAGAGAGTTTCAAAAGACATTTGAAAACAATTGAAGAATTTACCCTCCATGGAAATCCTTGGAATGCACATTAGGTTAAGGTATATATTGCACATATTTGAAGATTTTTAAAAAAATATTTTAGCTCTAATTCATGCCAAACAACTTTTACTTTCTCTTCCACTGCCTTCTCTCTGGGATGTCAAGGTGTTATACTGTTACATATTTTACTGTAACTTATTTACTATAGGACCCCCTCCAGTGATGTGCAATCGCACATCTAATTAACACATCCAATAATTCCTGCCCTTTTGCTTTGAAAAATATTAAGAAGAAAAAATGTAATCGTTCCTCTAGAGACAATGATGTAATTCTAAGGCCACTATCAAAACGGTGATTCTGGAATTGATGGTCTGGTTATTGGACCAGAAGTTTGCTACGATATTTCTAAACACTCAGTTGACACTCTACAGAGGTTGGGAACACATCCAAACTGAGTCCCTGACCGAGGGTGGGCCACATTATTAATCCCCACCATTTTGTTTGACTCACCAATTGCTGTGTGGTCATCTTTCCCATAAGGTGAAGTTCCAGTACCATATGTATTTCTGTCGTCATCCTTAGGTGCCATCGAGTCAGTTCTGACTCTTGGAAGCCTTAAGCACAACAGAACAAAACACTGCCTCGTCCTGTGCCAGCCTCTCAGTTGTTGTTTGAGCCATTGCTGCAACCACTGTGTCCATCCGTCTCATTGACTGTCCTCTTTTTCACTGCCCTTCCGTTTTACCACGCACGGTCCTTTGCTAGGGTCTGCTCCCTCTTGATAACACACGGACAGTCCGTGAGGTGGGGTCTCACCCTCCTTGATTCTTGTAAGCGTTCTTCTGGCTGTACTTCTTTCAAGACAGATTTGTTTGTTCTCCGGCAGTCGATGGCATTTTCAATAATTGAAATGCATCAATTCTTCTTTGTTGCTTAAGGTTTCTTCAGTCTATGGAAGGTTTCTGCATAAGCCTTCCAAAATGAAACAAGGGCTTTGGGGACTCACCCATTCTCCATTTCAAGCCAGTATTCCTCTCACCACCGCTGACTGCCCCAATAAGGCTCCCTGCTGGTCGAGCCTTGGGCAAGACTGGTGGTTCAAACCCACCAGCTGGTCTGTGGCAGAAAATTGAAGCTGTCTGATCCTGTAAAGATTTAGTCTCAGAAACCATATAGGGCAGTTCTACTCTGCTCTAGTCAGTAAGAATCAGCTTGATGGTGGTAGATTTGGGTAGCCTCAGGCCCGTGACTGAGAAGACTACAAGGTAGCAAAGTGAATTCACAGCGACCTACCATATTTGAGAGTGAGGAGCTAATGGTTTAAGGCTCACGATGTTAGTCGTGATCAAACGGAATGAATGCACCCGACGGAGAAGTATCTGGTGGGACCACTGGCTTCTGTACAGTCTAAGGACCCCAAGCAAAAGAGTCAGGGCTACAAAGGACACAATATTAGCTGGAGCATCCTCAAACCTATCCAAGGTCTGACTTCTTCAGCAAGTCTATGAAACAAGTCAGATAAATACTGGCTGAAAGGGAATTTCTCCAGAGCTGGAATCTAAGAATACAAATGTTTGGGGGTTTTTTTGGGAAAAAAAGCATAGCACTAATATGAATGATAAATTATCAAGGAATATTTAGATTACCCCCCAATATTAAGTGGTTTTCTTTACCTGGAAATGGCTTTCCAGTGACTAATTTATTCTTGATTTTGTGACCAGCAGGAAAATACACACAAGAAAGCATGCTAAATGGCCTAATGCACATGGAACCAATAATCTTGGCCTTATTAGTATTAGCTGTTTAAAAATCATTTTATTAGGGCTCATACAGCTCTTATCGCAATCCACACATACGTCAATTGTGTGAAGCATACTTACATATTCCTTGCCCTCATCATTCTCAAGACACTCATTTTCCTGTAACAACTTTTTATGATATTATCACAAGTATTTGGCTTTATGAAAAACACCAACTTCTCTTCATTACAGGTACCTACTAAACATAAAAAAAGGATCGATGATGTTCTCCTACCCCACATGGCAGAAAGTACCCAGCGTGCAGCTTTTCAAGTTCAAACTGCTCCATCTAGAATCCCATTCAAATCTGATTGGTAATCATATGTCCTTTGCCCAGGTTCTATTTCTCTAAGCACTGAAATAAAAATTACTCTAAGCACCACTGAATCATTTATCAAATTTTTCTCTCAGTACTGAGATGACTATATCTTGAATATCTCAGGTACAACAGGGGCAGGCCCCAGATTTTAAAAGAGAGCTGACTTGTATTCCCAATGATCCCTCCTTGCCTCTCAACCAGCAGCATCTCAATACAGATTCTTCAGTTAAGGTAGGATGGTCAGAGGTTGAGGGCAATGGCTGCCATCTAGGACAGATCACACAAAAAGAAGCCTGGTGATCAATAGGCCTTTTGGGATTTTTAATATCATCATATTCCCTATTTGAGTGGATTACTTGAACCCACCTACAGTCACCCATAAGACTACTACATGTGAGTGGGGACCAGAACAAAAGTATGTTCAGCTGTGAGTTCCTATCATAGTATAAGCTGCTCTATCTTGTTGGCCTTATGATTCAGTAGATCCAATAATTCTCAAAGTGCCATGGGATATCAGGATACTACCTGGAAGCTCTGTCAAGCACCACTGAGAGAATCAGAGTGCAGATCTCAAGTGTCTAGGGGCAAATCTATGCCTTCTACCAATAACTATTGTCCTCTTGAGAAACCGCTTCTGGCTTGCTCCCGTTCTTTGGATTGATAGTGAACCCTCACCCATGAGACATCAAGTGGCACGTAGCCTGAACTTCCCATCATGATTTGGGTTGTTGAACCGTCTAGTCAAGAACGTAGGCATGTATAGTAGAAATTCACCATTCAGTGGAAATGGTGTACAAGAGCTTAGATAGGTCTGGAAGGTTCAAGTAGGGTTTGTTCAAGTCTTGTTTTGTTGACTCCTCTTCTCAATCCAATAAGTACGTTGGGAAATTTTATGAAACTCAAGCTTTGTTTACAGATGGATTTGTATGATATACTGGTTCCATCCAAAAGTGGCTAGCTGCAGCACTACTGCCTCCACTCAAGGGTGTCCCCTGAATAGTGATGGCAAAAAAATCATCTCGATGGACACAATTTCAAGCTCTGGACATTTGGTGGCCCACCATGTCTGAAGGCACTGAAGTGCAGATCTCTATTCATTCACGGGAAGTTTGGCCAAGTTCCTAGAGGTTTGGAAGAAGCAAAATGGAGAGGTTGGTACCAAGGAAGACTAGGAACATTTATGAATGGACCTTTAAGAATGGGCACAGACTACAAAAGTATCTGTGGTCCATCTGCATGCCCATCAGAGCATCCACAGCAGAGGTGGCTATTAATCAGGTGCACTAAATAATGGACTCTTATCAGGCAGTCTCACTTCCAGTCCACCCTAGTGCTTGGAGGACTCATCAACGATGTGGACATGGTAGCCGGGATAGTGGTTATGCATAGGTTTGACAACATGGCTTCCCCTAACCAAAGCTAATATGGTTCACTACTGTCAGAAGGCTCATCTGTCAAGTACTAAGATCAATAGAGTACCAATCCCATTGGTTTGAACTGTGTAAGGTTGATTGTATTGCATGTTTCCATCAGAGGGGGCAGAGATTGGTATTTTCTAAGATTGACACACACATGGATTGCTTTCCACAGCCTGCATGCTTCTGCCAGCACATCTGATCCTGGGACTCACAATGCCGTTCCACCATCACGTAGGCATCCCTTCTAGCATGGATTCTAAGGAATCAGTTTCACGTAAAATGCAGCAGTGAGCTCATGCCTGTGATTACTAATATACCCCAATACTGAGCAGTGGCTAATGGCTTACTGAGTATCAGTTGTAGGCCCAAGATGAATTTTTGTCATATACTGGTGGTGGCATTTCCTTTGAACTACAGTCTGTGGATTCAGGAATGGAGGTGTAGAGGTGGGAGTGGTTCCTCTCATTTTTATACCAATACACATGCAGGCAGGAGTTTTGCTGTTCAAACCCAAGTTCTGCTGGCTTAGCGGTTTTTAGTCCCCAGGCATGCCTCAACTGTGGAAACAGAATGGCTCCACTGATGTGAGGTCAACCTTTGTCCCTTTGGGGCATTTTCATAGCAATAAACCAGTAGTCAACAAAGGGGTTAATCTACTGGCTAGTGAGTGACTGTTCTTACCTCAGAGGCAAGGACTGTATCTGGAACACAAGGAATTGTCCAAGTGCCTCTAATGCGCCCATGAAGTTACAGCAACCATGAGCACGTAGGGGAGTTGGAAAACTCAAACCTCTAACCCTGAAAACTGCATCTCAGATGAAAAACACACCGCATGAGATTAACACTAGATCAGATTAATTAGAAACTAATGCTGAAACTGTAGATAGTAACAGGAACTACCTGGAACAAATACGTAGAAAAACCCCAAGGTTAACAAGCCTGAGATAGACAAGGAATGAAGACAACTACATGCCATCTAGATAAACTGCTCAAAATGGGTGATAGAGGAGTCTTAAAAATTGCTCAAGGCAAATGTGGTGAAGAAAGCTGATGGTGTCCAGCCATCAAAAGATACAGCGTCTGGGGTCTTATAGGCAAACAAGCAGCCATCTAGCCCAGAAGCAACAAAGCCCACATGGAAGCACACCATCCTGTGTGATCATGAGGTGTCAAAGGGATCAGGTATCAGGCATCATCAGAACAAAAAATTGTAACATTGTGAATGAGGGGGAGTGTGGAGTGGAGACCCAAAGCCCACTGGTAGGCAATTGGATATCCCCTTACAGAGGGTCGTGGGTAGGGGACGAGCCAGTCAGGGTGCAATGTAGCAACAATGAAACATACAACTTTCCTCTAGTTCCTAAATGCTTCCCCCCACCCCCCACTATCATGACCCCAATCCTACCTTACAAATCTGGCTAGACCAGAGGATGTACACTGGTACAGATAGGAACTGGAAACACAGGGAATCCAGGGCAGATGATCCCTTCAGGGGCAGTGGTGAGAATGGTGATACCCGGAGTGTGGGGTGCAAAGGGGGAACCGATTGCAAGAATCTACACATAATCTCCCTGGGGGACGGACAATACAAAAGTGGGTGAAGGGAGACTCTGGACAGTGTAAGATATGAAAAAATATTTTATAAATTATCAAGGGTTCATGAGGGAGGGGAGAGCAGGGAGGGAGGGGGGAAATGAGCTGATGCCAAGGGCTTAAGTGGAGAGCAAATGTTTTGAGAATGATGAGGGCAATGAATGTACAAATGAGCTTTACACAACTGATGTATGTATGGATTGTGATAAGAGTTGTATGAGCCCTTAATAAAATGATTTTTAAAAAAATTGTAGGAGCCCCCAATAAAATGATTTTTAAAAAGTTGCTCAAGGAAAGACAAGTGGAGAGGCACAAGATTTCTCATAAGCTACAATGGAAGGAAAAGAACAGTGGCTCAATACTTTGAAGGGACTGAAAACCAAAAGTATCCTGAAATTTTATACCCGGCAAAATATCTTCAAAAACAAAGGCCAAACACAAAACATGAACAAGTCATCAACAGTAGACTCACACTAGAAATACTATCATTACAAAGCAAACTTATTTTGAACCCTAATCTTATCAAAATAATTTGTTTCTAGCTACGTGTTAGGGAGTCATGGTTATGCTTTGCAAAAACAACTTATATAGTAAGCAAGCCTTACAATTCATGGACAAATGGAAATATCACAATTTTACGGCAATTATGAAATCCAAACACATGAATTCTAAGGCCAAATAAAACAGCTCTGGTGGTGCTATGGTTAAATGGTTAATCAAAAAGTTAGCAGTTTGAACCCACCCAACAGCTTAGGAGGACCTAGTAATTTGATTCTGAAAAATATGAGTCTAGAAAGTCCTATTTTCTGGAAAACTCAGGGCCATTCTACTCTCGTCACTTTGGGTTCCAAGGATCAGGATCAACTCAAAGGCACCCGACAACTACAATTTAAAGCTTCTACGGGAATACTCAACTATATTCTTTCTTCTCAGCCCAAGTTCTATGATTTTATAGAGAATAATTGTGCCTAAAACAGGCCTAGAAGCCGATTTCACAGCATTGTACCAGGTATTTATGCCAAGTTCTCAAATCATAAACTTAACTTTACATATGATCTGGGATTAAAGAGGCAGAAAATCTCAATTAAACTTTCAAGTATATAAAAAGATATTCTCATTAATTCCTAACTAGATAAAAATTGAGCCCAAGTGGTTTCTATCATCTTGTTCAAGAACCAACTAGTATGTCACGTTCATCAATAGACTCAAGCTCTCCTCTCAGCTATCATTCTAAAGCATCTGCTCCGTTACAAAATATAAAACCTCATTTAATACCTGCTAAATTAGGGAACCCCCCAAAATAATAGACTATCCATCCTCAAAAAAAAATCAATAGATAAATCCATTACCATTAAACTTCATAATCAATATGCAAACACACACACTTCAGGCAATAAAATAAATCAAATTCAATAAACATAGATTTATTTTAAATCATTTTGGTACATGATACAGATTGGTTTTACAGTTTTTGAGTGAATTAAAATAGAAATTTCTAAATATATCAGTGTCTGCCTGTCCATAAGGTAAAATAAGTGATCTGATAAAATTGTATCAGCATGAACAAATCAAATGAAAAATCTCAAGAGGTTTCTATGTATCTTCTGAATTAAAAATACAACAAAAATATTATTAATGGCTCAAGATATTATTAAATTGTTAAGAAAAATAATAAACGAGTCAGCAAAGGATGTGACTTCTTTTGCAAGAGCTTTCTTAGATCTGCAAAATCTAAATCAAGCCACAGCATCATCATCAAATTTGCTTATATTTATTGACATGAACACCAAGCTACAGCATCATCAAATCTGCTTATATGTACTGGCATGAACGTATGGTAAAATACTCCTATCCAGGTAAATGATAATTATACCATTTTATACCATTGTAGCTGATTTTTTTTCACTTTACAGGGAATGGAAATTCTGCGTATTTTCAAATAAATCTTATCACTCACTAATAAGTAACAGCCATGACACATTAAAAAAAAAAAATGAGGTACCTAGAATACTACTACTAATGGAAACACAGAAATGTAAGGTAAACTAACCACCTTTCCCCCAAACCTTCCAAGCTAGAGATAGGAAATAATTAAGGCACTTGAAAACAGGTATTTGTACAAATGTGCAAGTAAAACAAACTTTAGCTGTACCAGAAAATAACAAATAAACAGTAAATCTTCATTTTAGCAACTTTTAATATAACTTTCTAAATGTAAGGAGCTTTAGTTCTTTAAATGGACCAAAGCGATTTATCATTTCCTACCATAAAGCACTGAAAACCAAGTGCTAATCTCGGCCACTATAGGCTAAAAGAAACAAAAAAACAAAAAAAAATGTACTTTAAACTAATTTAAGCTCTGAGCTAATCCAACATGTCAAACTTCAACCCTTGAAGTTGTTCTAAAACTGAGAAAGCCAAAACCCCCACAAAACGAGCTTCCTAAGAAACTAGAAATATGCATGTACATGATACTATGGGAATTGACGCCAACAAGAATGGAAAGGGGAGAAGAAACCATACAGTAATCTGATCAACTGAAAATCCTTAAATTTCCTGAAATTACAGTGGTCACATTTGTTGTCTGAAAACATAAAATGATCGTCTCCTTTAAAAAGTTAGTGAAAAATTCTAAGCCTTCTTGACTCGAGAGAAGATACTTTTCAAGTAAGCTTGGTGGAAATCCTTTCAAGGTACAATGTCAAGATGTATTTTTGAAGGAACAAGGACAATTAAACCCCAATCTTATCGCTAATTTTTAATTTTTTACAGCCAGTAAGAAAAATGTAGTTTGGGATTTTAATGTGTGAATGCTTTCAACTATGTGTAACATCTTTTAGCTTAAGTTACTTTGCTCTGAAGTAGATAGGTTGTTGATGAAATATTAATAGTGTGGTAGCGAAAAGCAGGTTTCCTACGGCTCACAGCAAGTTACATCCTCAGAGGAACCCTTACTTTCCTATGTAAAATAACAAATCATAGACATTTGAAGTTACAGCCTACCTTTCAGTCTGTTAAGGCACAGTTCTTTATTTTCACAATGATACAAGGTGCTTTACAAACATGAATAACCTGCTATGCATTAATGGTCTGTATCCTTTCCATCCATTTCTTTAAATCTGGAATGTAATTCCCTGTGTGGCATCCTATTTCTAATGTAGAAAAATAACTTATCAAGCACAAAATGTTACTCAAGGATACAGTTTAGTACTACTAAATTTACAAATTTATCCCACTTTTGAAATGACAGCCAAAACTCCACCTGACTGATGCTCATTTGGCATGCTCTTCTCACTTCTGGTCACTAAACTACATCCTGAGTAAGGACGAACGTAAACCACTCTCAGACTTCGAAATGACTGCATTGTAACTGCCAAAAAGAGCCATGAGGTTGTCTGTGCAGGACAATGTTTTCCATCATTACAAAAGTTTCATTTGGCATGTCAAGAACAGAGAACATAATCCCACAGCAGCAGCCATTTGAATAAAAGAAGACAGCCACAAGGATTCAGCAGAATATCTTAAATATTCCCGTTCAACAAAATGACAACTGATTTTTTTCTTCAAGGCCGGTGCTCCAAAATATCCTATATGCATCCTGTGGAGATGTATTCTAGAACAGCGTCTTCCATGTGGGACAGCTTGAAAAGCATTATTTTGGTTTCAGTGAATTACGCAAATGAACCGGCAGTCTGTGCTAATTTGATGCATTTTACAGAGTGTGGTAGTTTCTTTCTTTAGATTTGCAGAATTTATAGAGAAAGAAAACGACAGCCTGCACACCCAAGATAAGGACAATTCCTCCAATGAAACTGGCTGCGTCAAAGGTGGACTTCCGCCCAGGTTGTGAGGTTGGCGTCACAGTGGTATTGGTCAGATCTGCTGGATAAGACAGAAGAAATAACAACCCTTAGTAAGTCTTATGATCCTTGAACATTGCAATTTCAAGAATCGCCCAAGTTTCTCTTTTGCCATAAAAATCTTTAAATGTTTTCCTCTAGAGCCAACTCTCTAGCAGCTACTATCTGGCCTGTATAAGTGGGAAGACAAGCCTTTCATTCTTCAATGACTTCTAATGGTCAATCCTGCTCAACTCTTTCAAACAGCAAACTGACAGAAAAAGATCCGCCTGGCATATAAATTATAACCTGAGATTGCCAGCCAATTTTAGAATTTGCAAAAATTTCTTCACACTGTATATATTTCTAGCTAATTGCTCAACTCATTAATTTGTAAAGCATTTTACACAGCCTGAATGACCAACACTAAACAAAATCCAATAGTTGTCAAGTTGATTCTGGCTCACAGCAGCCCCAAACCCAAGTAGGGTAAACCTGGGCTCCACTGGATTTTCAAAGCTATGACCTTTCAGAAGCAGGCCGTAGGCTTTTCTTCAGAGGCACCACGGGGTAGGTTCTAACCACCATCGGTTCAGTTAGTAGGCGAGCACTGTTTGTGCCGGGCACAGGATGTTGTGCATATAAAGGTGTGTTATTAAAACTGTACTTATTAATACATCCATATCAGGTCGGTGAGAAAATAAGAGCGTGGCCACATCATCTCACCTCTTCACCAGTACTGTGAAGTCCCCGCTAGGATCCCTACTGAGGTCACCGCCACACCTCCCACTCCCCATTACCTCAGTTAGGTCCCCATCACCACCAATAGAGGGTGCGGAGACTCTCTCAGTACTGACCCCCACCCTCACACCTGGGGTCCTGCCCTCTATTTTCAGGATGAGTAGTCCTGATTCTTCCCTCATCAACAGCAAAATGCGGGCAGTGGGAAGCTTGGGTGCCACAGAGTGTGGGCACACTGTTTACTGGGTGCTTCTACCAGCCCTTTGCCCAAAGATCCCCCAGCTCTTGCTGGGTAATCCTGCTCTGCCTCTACATGAGAACTGAAATTTCTCTGAGGCTTTGAGGTCAGGCTTCAGCTCTTGATCTGGCCATCCTGCCACTGGCTACCCTCCCCGGCCCAGCAGGGCGCTGGAAAGCAAGAGGGCTGCTGCGGGGTGTCAGTCAGCTGACAGCGGGTCTTTGGGCCCAAGGCACCTGAGTGATCCATTTTAGAGCTCCTGACCACGGCCTGCCCCACCCCCCTGCCACCCTCATGGCTGGGAACTGGACCCAGATTCTGAGGTCCCCCATTTCCTCTTTGGTCCGAAAGTTCCTTTAGGGCATTTGATGCCTGTACTCTTGTGGGCACCAGGACCCTCAAGGAAGTGAATAAATAAATAAAGAGTACGTGTTGTATCAAAATGCGGTGGTGCAATTAAAAAGTCAAAGGTTCGAACCCACCAGCCACTCTGTGAGAGAAGCCTGGTGATCTGCTCCAATAAAGACTGTAGCCTGGAAAATGCTTTGGAGTATTTCTAAATAAAGGGTCACTACAACAACTATTAAAAGATAACAAGATAAGAGAAAAAAAGAACAAATATTAACACTTGTGCAGAAAATTCACATAGCTTTTGAGTTGAACTGGAAATGTATGTGAAACTCACAATTTTCAAGTTAAACAATCAATGAAAATATCTATAATTTATCATTTCAACAAGCAAAAGAACTGCCATAAAAGCCATTTGAAGAATATACTGTCTTGCTGGGTTTGACGAGTGGTTTACAATACTGAATACAAAGTTGATAATGAAATTTACAAAAAAAAAATATTAAGGTGCGCACAAATAAAATAGCTGAATTATGAGAAATTATCACCAAGCCATAAATAAGGAAAAGGATATGGGGATTTTAATTTCTTCTGAGGGCTAGTACTTTTTAAGTAATAATTTATATTTCATCTGCAAATTCTACAATTACTTAATTCTGTGTCAAGCCAAATACGAGTACACATTAAAAAATAAGAAGAGGATCCAACAAACCTATCATTAGTATGCCAGAGCTTACTGTCTTGGTCCCTCCTAAACCTAAGACCATTTTCAGCCTATAGCTATTCATTAGTGAACCTGGGAAATATCGTCAGAAATAGTATATGCCAACTGTGTGCACACAATTCTGCATCATTGTTGGTTTAAGAAACCTCAATTACCTGTTGTAGGAACTGCGGTGTGAGCTGAAGTAGGGGAAGGCTGAGTTGTGGGTTTAGCTGAAATGTAAACAAATGTATTAAAAACCTTAACATTTTAACTGCCTAGTTATCTAGTATTTCACTTTAAAAATAAAAACCCTACCAGCTTTCTTCATGCTTTTAAGATTTTAGTAAAGGCTAAAATTTCAATTAATGGTTCATGAACATAGGTCACACTTCCCAAAATACTATTATCTAAAGCATTAAAAGCCATAAAATTGCCCTCTCTCTCTCACTCACAAATACACACTCGCGTGTGTGCGTGAGTGAACGTGGGCAAATATGGGGACTTCAGAAAGTTAGTGGGAAATGAACTTGAAAGACAATGGAATTTTTCTACAAACTGTTTGAAGCCCTCATATCTATATATCAAATCTATCCTCACACCTATATAAAGTTTACGAAAAGACATAGAAGGTCAATAACTAGTGTTTAGGAGAGGAAATTGTAGTTTCTTTATAAATAACCTTATTTCTAAAGGAGAGAAAAAAAACACCCACATTAATTAAAAAAGTCATACCAAGAGACAAATACAATGTAGTATTTTAAGATGTGTTAAGACTTACTTTATTTTGATAAATTACAAGTTGATCTTATTTTTTACTGTATTTTCTGAGATTTTCATAAAACCCACAAAAAGTTAATAGAATGAATGCACAAAGCTACAAAAAATCTCAGATTCACGGAATGTGAAATTACCACTGTCACAAGCCAGGCTTCAAGCCACGTCTTCCTATTTCTCAAAGTTGTACTAGTAACTTTGAGCTAAGCCCTAAATCACCCCCCAAGAAAGCATAATTCTAAGAGAAGGAGAGAAAAGGAACCAGTCACCCTGGGTTACCTGTAGAATTTGTTGGCAATGGAGTAGGCACTAATGAAAAGAAACAAAAAGTATAAATTTAAACAGTTTAAAATTCCACAATCTGTAATACCCTTTCCCAACCTGCAGTCACTTGACATGTTTTAACAATTTTTATAATTGTCTGTTGAAGAGACCAACAGTTGTCCCAACCCAGTATCATTCTCCCCTTCTTTAGAAATATAACCACCGATTTTAGTGACATTTCTCTCCCCCCAGTAACACTATCTCTTAGCTCCCTGGCTGTGTGCCATCTACGGGTGGCCATGTAGCACGTGTTACGGGCCTGGACAACCTTCTGGCCTCGTCCGGCCTTGGAGTCGGGGAAGTTTAGGTAGCACCGTAAGCGTAGATACAGGCTTTCTTTGCCTTTCCGGTCTTTTCCTTCTGACAGAAAAAAATGTGGTTGGCTGGAACACCCACCGTAGGCAGCAAGTTTAAAGCTATTTTTGAGAAAACTACAGTACAGCCAAAAATGCTCCTTTACAACTGAGGTTGTACAGTTATACAGTTACAATGATCTCAGACTTTGGACCAATCCCTGGACATCACCATGCTTGACAGAGGGTGAGTGAAAAAAAGCATTAACAAAACCAACCAGCATAGTTGCTGCAACAAGGTGCTCAATATAGAAACAACTGTGCAGAACTAGGCAATGTTCTGTTCTGTGATGCCAAAAAAACACAACAAAGTAAATATGTAGGCTCCTGGAGTCCTAGTGGTATAGTGGTTACATGTTGGTCTGCGATCTAAATGGTCGGCCGTTCGAAACCACCAGCAGCACTTTGGGCTTTCTACTCCTGTAAGTAGCTAGTCTCAGAAACCCACAGGGGGTTGATATGAATCAACAATGACTCCTTGGCAGTGAATTTGGTTTTGGAGATGGGTTCCTAAGATTTGGAGAGCTGCTACCTGATAGTCTTCAAGCTGCACTGTAGCTCATACTTCCTTTACATGAAAGGCAAGTAAATCCTGTCCACTATTTAAATAACATGTAAAAAAAAAATAGCATGTAATTTGGAATTTTGTCCTTCACAATTAAAACAATCGACTACTACAAATACTTACTACATTATAGCAAATAACTACTAAAAATGCACATTCACCTACCACCTAATATGACACAATTTACATTGGGTACAATTGATCTAAAATTCCTGTAATCTTCAGTTACAAAGTTCAAATTGGTGTGTTGGGGTGGGGTGGGGGGAAGCACCTCCCCAAATAAGCTAAGGCAGTATTGGTATAAATCCGAAATTTGCTCTGTCATCAAGAAATTTTAACTAATTCCTAAACAAGAAGTAAAGGCAACAGTGTAAATAAATTCCTCAAATTAAGGTATAGGAATGGTTAAATTCCAAGAGAGTTCATTTATCCACAGCATAAACTATGCTAGAGATTATGTCCGACAATCACTAGCACCCATCTCCAGATTTAAACAAGTCCAGCCTGAAAAATGCAAATTTGAAGGTCTAAACAACAGAGAATTTCTAGAAAACTTACTAAACAAAACACTGGGAGGCATACACACATTACAGCATTCCACAGTATAGGTAACCATTTCAAAACCAGGCTTTAAAGCATAGGTTCCCAAATGTACTTGTCTACTGCTCCCTTCTAAAAATTATGCAGTGCCCCCCCCCTCAAGAGGAAGAACTGTACAAATTTATATCTCTAACGATATTTGAATTATGGAAATACTTCAAACGAAACATTGAAATAAGGCACACTCAAACTATAATCATCTACATCACTCAGGAGCAGTGGCAAAAGTAAAAACTTACCTGAACACAATTCTGTCTTGTTCACGACCTGACAATCACTAACTGATGAATTACTTGAACAGTAGCTTTTCTTAGCTGATATTGAAGGAAAAAAAGGACAAACAGCACCAATCACTTTTATTATCACCTTTGATTTTACTACTAAATTCCAGAATTGCTCGGGAGTAGGGGGTGCAAAACCCTAGCACCAACAATTTAAAAGATCAAAGACATTGGTGTTTTCCTAATTTTATATTAGAGCTTAAATTCTGATCACAAGGACGGCTCATTTGCTGAGAGCACCCTACATCTGTTGATGTGGTTTGAGCTTATAAGAGATTCCACCTCCATTCAGTTCTTTCCGATTATTGCTTGGATTACCCTGCCAAGCCCAGGGAGGGGCGGTCTAGCCCTCAGGGACTTGTCTGGATGTCCCCCTTGATGACATCAGGGTATGAGGGCCACTCAATCATGAGTCACATACCCAGATTTCCTAAACAGGAGGGCCCTAAAGCAGTCTAGGAAGCTGAGGGGTCTTCAACTGGATGGTTTTTGTCTTTCCCTTGTCTCTGTCCTGTTTAAGGCTGAATAAAGAGATCTCTGTAAGGATTTGGGGGGCACTTCCCCCCTATGCTAATTGTCAGTGATATTAAAAGAGCTCTCAAGATTTTTTTCCTTTTAAAATCCATATAAATACATTAAACAGATAAATTTGAAAAACATCTCAGAATAGTGGTGTGCCTACTATAGTCAAGGAAAGCAGCTAGAAACCATAGGGAGGGAAAAGTGGTCAGAATGTTCCCGACTGCTCCAACAGCATTCCTGGGCAGGCAGATGTAAAGCAACAGTAAGAGAAAAGCCTCCCTCCTCCACATAGTCCCAAATAAGGCATTTCCCACCCGGAACTTGCCAATCCCTGCTATATACTGCACGCCACGCGTGAAAAGGGCTACCCCAAAATGCCACTTGCGGCCTAACAGAAATGTGACTCATAAAACAAAAATGTTAATCTAACCTAAAATTAAGCTAGGACCTAACTCTAAAATAGCTTTTTGAACTTTGCTATGTAGTTATTCAGCTTCTTTTCCTTAACATGAGGTTTTGGACTTTTCTTTAATAAAAAAAAAAAATACACATATAAAATATTACTGATAAAAATGCACCCATTTTATAACAAGAAAATAAGACTAAACATGCCGAAATGTCCTACCATGGTTCTACCAAAAACTTTATAGATATTTCAACAAATCCCATTTAGCTTTTTTATCACTCTACCAAGCGTACATATAGGTAATTTACTTTAAACTTAGGAAGAGGCAACGCTTTCCCCACATCCCATTCTCTCCCAACAAAGTTTCAAGTCTTTCCCAATGTCTTAAAATTTTTATTAATAGATCATTGTATTGGGGGCTCTTTACCTCTCTTTTAACAATCCACACATCAATTGTACCAAGCATATTTGTACATATGTTGCCATCATTATTTTCTGAACATTTACTTTCTATCTGAGCCCATGGTATCAGCGCCTTTTATCCCCACCCTCCCGCCTCTCCTTGCCCCATCATGAACCCTTGATATAGTATAAATTATTATTATTTTAAGTCTTTCCCAACCCCTTGCAGGGTATCTATCCTCACAGCCCCCAGAGGTGGTGCCCGACTTCCTAAAATCGCCAGAGGAGAACTGCACAACTTCCTTTCGTTGCTAATTCCAGAGTATTAGTATTCTTAATCCTTCCAAAGATGTAAAAGCACTCTTCCTTTCAAAGCAATTGACCCTTACTTATCAAATATAAGAGGTTAAAAGGGTAGGTGGGGAAAGGGGGGCAAGAAGAGATTATACAGGATGGGGAGGGGGTGTTACTCATGTTAACGAATTGTTAAAAGAAAGCGTCCAAGTTGCAAGATAAATACTGAAAATTAAGGGAAACTCAAAGCCTCTTACCATCTTTACATTCTATCCAGAAGCAGGTAGAACGGACCAGGCTAACATTAAAGCAGGATACACAGCTGTGTTGGCTTTCACAAGAGTCTGTGAGGGAAAAAAAAAAAAAATCAGTACACCAATTGGTAACTTCCTTGCTCGACTCAGCCTTTTTAAACAGTGAGCATAATATACGAGAATTACTAATTCAGAAATGTTTTATAAACACCAGTTTACTAAGAAATTCTGATTATCATAAACCACTGACAAATCAACTCAAAAACACCAACAAACTAGTGGACACCTATCTAAACAGTCTTTGTCACAGGGCAACTCCCTGAAAGAAGACACCTATGTATACTCAGGGTTTCTGAAGGCACTTTAAAGGATCTTATTTAAATAAAAACCCCAAACCACACTGGGGTAAAGGCATTTGTTCCTCCATTATAAGACCAACACCAGTGAGTCAATTCTGACTCATAATAACCGTAGGGGTTCTAGGACTGTCAATGGTTTCACCAAAGACTTTGCGGTTAGCAGCCGGATGCTCCACACTACCAGAAGATGCATTTGGGATTTTTCATACTGATAAAGTAAATAGAATCCCAGGTCTGTGAAAACGGGTCCTGCGCAACAGGAGACTTCAGACAGGAGTTGCAGGGACCACATCCCTGTAGTACATATAATTTAAGAGGCTTACAACATCTCTGCCAACAGTAGTTTAAATCAAAGACCCTAAAATAAGACCTGATTAGATTTTAATGTTTGCACACATGCCTGGAATTCAGAAATGTCCTCTATCAATCTTCCAAGAACCCCCATTTGCTTTCCCCTTCTGCCTAATAAAGCTCTGAATTGTCTTTTTAATCTTTTACTAGGTTTTTTTAAGAGGTAGGGACATGGATGGTACCTTTGACAGGGTCACAAAGTAGAAATAGGATACAGTTCTTCACAAGTTTTCATGTGAAAATGTTAGCTTTTAAAAATCCTTTGTGCTTGATGAAGGTTAGGGTAGCATACAATACACAATGGACATAAAGACATATCCAACTACAATCTCCAACAAATCTTAACTGAATGCACTTTAATTACTTAAAGACAACTTCAATTCACTTTGCATTTCATCTTTCTCTTAAGAAACAAACAACACCATTCTGGGATGAAGCTGCCAAATAAGCTGAAGATAGCCACCCCACCCCCCGAAAATTAAAAAATTAAAATTCTGCTCTATCATCTTCAAAAAAAAAAGTCGTTAAAATTCCCAGTGTTGTACTGACTGCAATTTACTTTGCTCATTTAGTGTAATTTTACCATTATATCTTTCCAAAATCTAACAGGCTTATAAGCAATTACATACGAAGTAAATATCTTATTACATTAAGTTTTAGGAAATACAAATACCAGAGAAGACACTGTGAGAGAGTAAGATCAGCATAAAAATAAATGCCGGGTAAAATCCTCACACCTCGGCAATCGATCCTTCAAAAACCCAAGTTGCCCTTCACCCAGTATTCATTAGAACCAATCACATTAGACTCAATGTTTCCAGTGTTATAGCTTCAAATTTCTTGTTTTCATGACATCGCTCAATTTCTAGTAATAATTCCACGCCTTCATCGGCCTTTAATAGACCGAAGGCTTTGGCGTGTCCTTGGTTTTAGGAAATCGACCACCTTAGGTTTCAACATTAAACAAACCAAACTCCCAACAAAACTCGGCGTCATCCAGTCGATTCCGACTCACAGCGACCCTACGGGGCAGGATCAAACTCGACCCCTTTCCGGACGCAGCAAGCCTCATCTCTCAAACCACCATCTACTGAAACGGAGCCGTCTGCGCGAGTTGCTTTATTTCCACTTCTACCTAGTTCCCAGGCTCGCCAAAGAACTCACGGGGCGAGACCCTGTTTTGTACCAGAAGGCGCAAAGCAAACAGTACTTTTCTCCTTTGCCTGCACCAGGCGGCGTGCATTTCTTTAGATGCGCGAATCCCAGATACACTCGTTTCTCACCAACCCACCGTCAATCATCGAATCAAGTCTCGGACGACGTCCTTTCAGACGCAAGTCTCAAGACGAGAGAGAACCAGTGCTAACCGCCCCAAGTGTCTTCTCTCTCCGCCGACTTCCGGGGAAGCCGCCCTCGGGAAAGAAAACCAGGGTGGACACGCGGCCGCGGCCCAGGAGAAAGTCCGGTTTCGCCTCCAACTTCCGAGGCGCGATCCACGCCCCAGCAACCTCAGAGCCACGTCCCCCTTCCGAGCCCACGGTGGCCCTGGGGATCCGGACGCCCTTTCAAAATGCCCCTCGGAGGGAAACGCTCGGAGGGCCGCACACGGCCCAACGGCCGCCGGGCTCCCCCGCCCCTTCTCGCCG